ACCCTGTGAGTGAAAACCATACGTGTGGGATGTATAAATGAAAATGTCAGAGTTCGCTAAGAGTCATGAAGTCATGAGGTTTGAATTTGTGGATCGTTTTATTTGACTTGTTAGTTGAACTCATTAATGATGAGTGTAATTTAAAAGCAAAAGTTTGCAACTATTGTTCTGAGGATCTTGGCTAATAATGTAAAGCAATGTCTGCATCAGCTGCAAGAATCAGTAAGAAAGTAGTGACAAGTAGTTTGAGCTCTATCAGTAGATGATGGGACTCATGTAATTTTCTCAGAGAGTCTACACTTCTAATTATTTGGTGAATGCAACAACATTAACACCTTTTTTCTGAGACAGAAAAGGTTTGTTGACTTGCTTGGTTTTTATTCTGTAGTAGATATCAAAGGTAATAGATTAACATGGTGAAATACAGGTAATTTACCTAAACAAAGACTTCCATGAAAAATTTCTGAATTTTTGGATACTTACATAGCTATGAACTGACCCTGTATCTGTGTGTCAGTGTGTGTCAGTTTGCCAGGTGATCTGATGTTCCCCACTGTACCCAAACTGCTGAAAAGTGCAGTCCGATGTGTATGAAAAATAAGGCAGTTCTATACAGTTGTTTTAGAAAGGTAAAATAATGATACTGTGATTGAAAAGTGCATGAGGTTAAGTTTACATTAGCCTGCAGTTTTGCTTCCCTGCAGCACTAAAAATGTCACCAAGTCTCCAACAGATAATGTTTAAAGTGAGTTACTCATTTGAGCTTTGGACTTCAAGGTTTGTGCTTTTTCAGATTTTTCCTGGTGATTGTAAAAACTGAAACATACCCAAAACCACAAAAAAACCCCCAACAAAAACCTTTACACCAAGAAGTACAGTCCTCAAGAAATAGTATGACAATGTGACTTTTACGATAAACATCAGGGGAGTGAGCAGTGTAACATGTATGTATGTGCGAGGTATTTTTGTTATAGTTGAACTATATTTTTTATAGATAAACTAACACATTTTCATTATCAATCAGTTTATTTTTTAATAGTTAAAGCATCACAAGCTGTAAAGTGATATAAATTCCAGACAATCTTTGGTAATGGGAAGTATTCAGCGAATGACTTCTAGCAGAGATACAAAAAAAGGGAAAACTAGACTGGGCATACATCTCTAACCTGCTTCCTTTTCCCCTCCCCCATCAGACTCAAGAAAATATCCTGTAGTGTTTTTATAAAGTCCTGTTAAGTAGTAACATGTTAGTAAAAGTTACTGTGTTCAAAAATCAAGATGAGCACTCAGTGAAAAGCTATTTTTAGGGAAGTATTGCTTCTTTAAAACACTACACATATGCAGCCAGAAGGATCTCAGTGTATCTGAAGTGCAGTAACACAGCTGAAAATAGTGCTCAGCTGGCAGGTATGAATGACATGAAGAAAACTTGCACAGATTTTAAGAAGTGATATTGCAGGAGACACTGGGGGCTCTAGCATTTTGAGTAAGAACTTACAACTGGGTGCATAGAGGGAGAGATGAACAATACTGCAGCTGAGGAGAAGATAGGTCGAGTAGAAAACAGGCTTGTCTGTTTTCATTACGGAGCTTGGACACGGTTGCAGCTGAGATTAAGCCAGAAATAAGGCTGAATGGGAAAAGAGGAGGAGATCAGAAACGTACATCGTATTTCACCTCCCTGAAAACCAAACCCAACCCCTGGCCCTGTTGAGGCAGCTCCTCTGAAGGGTACGCTGGAGAGGGAGGAGAATCGGAAGCAAGAATATGGTAACCAAGAATGGAGGAAGATGGCAAAAAAAAAAGTATGGGTGATTAATGTCTGCAGTATTGATGGAGGACATGAGTACTGCAAATGTCAGCTATTAGGTTGGTTGAAACTTTGCTCTGTGGTTGGTGTCTGAGCTGGCTGAGCAGGGTCTAAAACAGCTGGGGAGAGGACACCTCCGTTGTTGTCTCAGATGCAAGTCTATGGGCAGTTGAATCAAGAGTGGAGTTTTGCTACACACAAGCATTCTTGGATTTTGATCAGCGAGCTGGAGAGTAGGTAAAGGTATGAGAATAGGTACATAATGAATTCAGGTGAAATGGGGTCATTGGGAAAGAAAAGATTAGAGTAAAAGAGCAGAGGTTTGAGGATTTTTCTTAGTGTAGATGTGCACTATGAAAGGCATCAGATAGCAATAGAGGAATAAGCCCAACAGACGAAGGAGTATATAATTTCAGTAAGTATGGAGACCAGAATAGGTACATATATATGTATTTTTTTAATTAGTAGAACCCCTACAACGTAGTTATTAGTTACATGAAATTGTAGTCTTTCAAATATGAAAATTGCGTGCTACAAATATTTTTTTCAAATCTAAAGGAAAGAAGTTAGAAGCTAAATGATAAATCTGAAGAGTAATAAATTTTCTCCATTATTTAAGAAATGAACAGAATAGCCTTTTCTGCATTGATTATTATTTTTCCAAAGTACCTCTTTGGTATCTGTGGTTTACTGCTTTTCACTAATTCCAGTGTAGTCCAAATTTATTTTTCAGTCAGGCAAAGTTTTGGCGTAGCGAAGGAAAAGTGTGACCAAATCTGTGGGGCTGTTTTCTCATCATCTTTGGGAGGAGAGAAGCTGGTGGTATTCTTAGTGTTGATTTGGGCAATTGGTCAGTAATGTTTTCAGCTATCTGTACGAAACTGATCTGAGAAGTTGTGGTCCTGTGGCCAATCCAAACATGCAACAGCCTTTGTGGCGGTGCTGTTCAAATCTAGTGCAGTTTCAGTGGTACTAAGTCGGATACAATATCCCTTGGCTAGGCCTTCACATCCTCTTGGGTGTACGTTTGTAGGAGAATGTTTACAGACAGTATCATCCAGATAGAGTGAAATATACAGCAGTCTTATAATGCTTTTTAGCTGTTATAATTAACCCTCCAATATTTGGGGTGGATCCAAATTTTAAACATAGCATCTGAAATATTTTAAAACAGTGAAGCATCATTTTTTAGATTAATACTGCTTTGAGGAGGAACTGCTGGATGCTTACCTCAAACATAATTGTTAAAATAGGTAACACTGCTAAAAGGAAACCATATAAATCTTTAATGTGATCGGTTTTGCCTTGTATGCTTATTAAACATTGATTTATTTTTTTTTAAATGACCTTTCACAAATGTGGTACACAATCAACCACCAATGTTAAAAATGCTATTAAAATTGAATATGACTGGAAAAGCTAAGGTTTCAGAAAAATTGATTTGAAAACAAATAATACATTCAAATAGCTCTTACAGTACAACATGATGCATGCCGACAGAACACTGCATGTAGTGCCTTCCAAGTAATGGTGTAATTACTTATTTTGTAATTAGCTATTCAGAATACAATTACTAAATGCAATGACCAAAATTTTCTTATTTGTCTGCGCCTTTAGTATTTTCTCATCTTCAGCTGGGGAGATAAAATAGGGATGTGTAAGAGAGAAACCTTTACAAATCACAGTTGTGCTTCAGCCATATTTGCATTAAGCTACAGGCTAGTCCTGAGTCTTGAATGCAGAGATGGCTTCAAGTCTGCTTACTCATATGGTGGAACAAAAAAGACACATTCACCTCCAGATTGTCATTCTTGAGGTTCCAGGTACGTTCATCTGTATGTGGGAAAATAAATGTAAAACTTGAGGTCAAAGATGAACATTTTGCTCTTACGTACATTCTGTTGTTGTCATCCAGATTTATCCGGGTAACACCCATTGGTGCAAAGGACAGATGCATACATCAGTGAGCAAACAGATGCCGGTAGAAGCGGTCCTTCTAAGTTTTTGAATTTTATGAAGCACACATGATAGTAGTATTCCTTCCTTTCTTTTTCAAAATTAATTCTAAACTAAGACAAAGAGATTCAGTTAATCAGAAATCTGCTCAAACACTTGCAGAACAGGTGTTCTAAGTCTTAAAATCTGCTGTACCTTTCAGTGCCCCAACTCATGTTGGTACAGAGGGCACAAGGTAAAGCTCCAGAATAAGGGATGTCTTGATTTGTAACACAGCTGTCAGCTTATGGGCCTGACCATATTGCAACTTTCTGATCTTAAATGTTGTTTCCTCTTGCTTCATCACTTATCCTGTGTAATTTAAAATACCGAAAAAGTATTACTGGACATGAATTAAAGCTACAGGGAGACTGCTCTTGGAGGGTTCCTTTTCAGTAGGCATTTGAACCAGAGAGAAGTCTGAATGCTCTGTTTGGAACCTGTAGTACAAATGGTAAAGAAAACATGTTACCATTTTAATCATTATTGCCTGTTTAATGTGGGATTTCTTGCAGCCATGTCCCTGAATAACCATTTCTTAAATAAAATGACACAATTTTGTATTTAGTGATCCATGACTTTAAATATTTGGAAGGGCTGTTGATTCACTGAACTGGAAGAAATTAAAGATGTTGAGGCGTATTTTCAAAAGTAGAATTACATGCATTGTAAACTATGTTTGATCGTGTATGTTCTGTTTACTGTTTAAATAATTTTTTAAAAGCTAGGTACATGTAATACAGCATTCAATTTAACTGCAGTAGCCTTAACTAAACACTGGTGGTATTGTTTAAATCAGCTACATATGGTATTAGGAGAGCTGCGAGCACCTCCTCTTGTCCCATGTCGTGCTCCTCTGCATGTACCTATTTCTGTTTGTGGTAGTCATCCTCTCTAGGTAAATTGTCCATAAGACCAATGATTCCATCAGCAAATTATCCAGAAAATGCCGTCAGTGCGCATGGTGACATTTGTGCCACCGGTGGTTTTGTTGCCATTTCAGTGGTCTAATTAAATTGGCAGTTTTCTCTTGTGCCCAGCGTTGCTGTCTCCCTTCCTTTGGCACCTTAGCTCAGACCTTCTCCTTTTCTCTGTCCTTTTAACTGAATATCAAATGCATTATTGATTGCTCCTCTTCCACCCTCCTCACTTCCACTCCCCCCAACTTTGTAATCTTTTTCTTGTTGATTGGCAGTATCATCCAGACAAACAGAAGGCAGATGTGCCAGCAGGAGAAGTGGAGGAGCGCGTGCAGAGGTTCATCGAAATTGATCAAGCGTGGAAAATTCTAGGGAACGAAGAGACAAAAAAAGAGTATGACCTGCAGCAGCGTGGTAGGTTCCTGCCAAGGAGTGCTGTAGTGGCAGCAGCTCTTTAAATAAGCAGGGTCTGGGAGTGGTAGTTAGATGGTATTTTAAAATGCTGTTTATTGCTGAACCAAATGTTTCTTTCGCTCTTGTCCTACTTTCAAATGTGGATGCATTATTTATAGCTTTTGCTACACATACATTAGCTAGTGAAAACATTGAATTACTTCCAACAAAGCATTAGGTGGCATTATTCCTAATAATTTGAATGAATATGAAATTTATACTAATTACAGACCTTAGCTCTTTTTATTTCATTAAGGCAGCTTCATTAAGTGTTGTTAATTTTCAGTCTTCTACTACATTTTGTTGCAGTACCTTGGATGTAGGTATTAATCCATTTATACCTAGTGTTCAATGTGTATGGGTTTAAAAGCGCTTCAGAATCATTAAGACATTGTTTTTGGTTGTGTGTGTGTTATGGTAGCTTTCATAATTCATCTGTAGTCTAAACTAGTCTTTTTAAAGCAGGTTTATAAATAATATTCCAATATAACACATTAACTAGGCAGCTCCAGCATGCATTTCTTTTTATACCTCTCAGAAAATAGCTTCTTAAAACAGTGACAGGCTGTTGTGAGAAAGAAAGGGGGGAAATGTAGGTCAGGTCTGTCACACATGGGCTACCATTACATGAAGTGATAGGCTGTCTTTCTGCTCTGGCCTCAGGATAGGAGTCCCTCAGCCTTCCATTAGAACCTTCAATAAATGTATATCCACCCTACATGTTAATGGGGGGAGTCAATAATAGTGTATTGCCTGTGGGGAAAACACTCAGTCGCACTCTGCAGTAACACACTCTGGTCCGGCATTGACGTGTAGGCACCACCACTTCTGAATGTGTCTGATAAAAGCCCACTGTCTCTGCAGCTTGTTATTGAATTCTCTTCCATTGTACATTGGCACACCATCAGACCTTTCTCTCTTGTGCTGATTTTTAACTCCCCTGCCGCTGCAGATACCAGAACTTTGAGAGACAAAGGCTTAGTCATTCTGGCAGATAAGCATCACTGCAGGATAAAAAGAGTGATATATAATTGTATACAGTATGAATTCTGCAGTTAAATAATCTTGTATTTCAGACTTTGTGTGCATTTGGGAAAAAAGGGTGGAGGGGTGAAAACAAAATTGTTCAGTAAATACTTTAAAAGAATGAAAAAAAAATGGATCTTGTGCTAATTTGTTATGTAAACAGTATTAAGAGCAAACAAATAAATTTTTCATCTCAAACTTTTTTTAAATGCCTGAATGTGATGCCAGAACAGAAATTTCTGCTACCCAGTGCTCTCATCCGTTTGTACTCTTAGCATTGTAGTACCGACTGTGTATTCAGTTTTCACAAATCGTACATGCAGAGGAAAAAAGAAATATTAGAGGTTAAGTTAGAAGTCTTTTCTGTCTCTAGTGAGTTTTTACCTAAAGCTTAAATACAGACTATGAAGTTCCATTTTGCTTGGGTCAGGTTAATCCCTTGAAGTTGAGAGCTACATCAAGATTTAGTAAGTTACTTTGTTTTCCTATGGAATTTAAGGACATTGATATAAATTAGTTTTGCGAAAATTTGTAGATAACCTTTAAAATACTGCAGAATATATCCTGATATTCTTTTGCATCCAGATGAGCTCTTTGAAAAGCCATCTCAAGATTCTGTTAAAAAGACTTAGTAAATAAAGAAAACAAATTGTCCATTTATTTACATAGGTAATGGTATGGTAACAGCATAGATATATTTTAATATAGAGGGTGCCATCCGCAGAGGACCCAACATTTCAAACTAAGCCACATGAAACATACATGTGCGGTGTTGCTGCATTCTTTGCAGCATGTTCCCTGGCAGCAAAATGATGGTGAAATAAATTATAGTTCTTTGAATTCCTGTCAAGCTGCTTCTGAAGTCGTGATTCTAGACAAATTCGTAGACACTGCTGTAAAAGCTCAAAGAAGCAAAGGAATTAAGACAGCAGCTAAGGCGAATGGTGATGAGAGGGAGAATACAGCGAGTCAGTAAGACTGCAAAGCCTAGGAAGCAGAATCTGAAGGATGCCAGTGTGTGTGTGCCTGTGGCTGCCAGGCAGCAGGAAGTGCTTTGCGCCGTAGTCTGTTTTTCCGTTTCACAGACTGTTTACTTGCATGTACCTTCTTGTGTTGTATTAACTAAATCTTAATTACTTGGCTTAGAAATTCAGTGGCCAGAGAAGTTCCAAGAAGCTGAAATTCTGTGGGGCTCTATGGTTTTCATTTTCTTTATGTTTGAGTCGTTGAGAATGTGAAGTGTTTTGTAGTGTAATAGGGCTTTTCTCTGAAGGTATCACAATGATCTCCTACTATTTTTTGTGCTGTTAGGTCATAGTATTAAAGCAGAAAAAACAAATGTCAAACTGTTCAGAAGTCTGGCTCGAATATTTTCACAAACCTCTCTGGTATGAAAATCTTACAAGAACTGCCTTTTTGTATGTTTTGAAACAATTTTTCCAAGCCATTCTTTTGTTACATCTTTAATGACACATTCACCATTATAAAAGGGTATTCTTGTCTTTTGCTTCCAATCCCTGTGAAAAATTTGAGGGATGGAAACAAAAGCTGCATAACAATTTACTTATTAAGAATGTACATTTTTTTTCTTCAACATATTTTCTTCTTGGAGATTTTTTCCATTCTTTGTTTGGTTTAGAAAAGATGAATATGCAGTTAAAATCAAGTTTGACAGTAATAATTACCAAAAGTTTTTCAGTGAGTTTAGCTTGGAAAAAAACAGTTTTACCTTTTTCATATTAGAAGTCATCTGAACCCTGAAAGTTCATGCTTTCGTGTCACAGTCTGAAAGAATAAACAACTTTCTAGAATCAGAGAATTGTGTGGGTTGGAAGGGACCTTCACAGGTCATCGAGATTGATCTCCTACTCCAAGCAAGTCCACATAGGTCAGTTGCTCAGACCTTCTCTAGCCTAGTTTTTAGTATCTCCAAGGATGGAAATGCCAGAGCTGCTCTGTTCAGTGTTGGAACATGCTCATAGTAGGAAAAAATGAATGAAAACCTCAAATAAAGTAAAAAAATCCCCTCGGAACCAAGCAATACAGGTTTTCCTTCTATCAAGTCAGATATCAGGACTCTTTTTGTAGGTTGTGCCTTTCACTTATCTTCCACTGTGCACCTCTGAGAAGTCTTCCCTACGCCCTGTTATTAGGTGGCTGTAGACAAGGAGATGCCTGTGTTCGTTTGGCCTGTCCTTGTGCGATGTGTCCCATGCTGGCAGTCCACTGGACTTGTTCCTGTATGTCAGGGATCTGTACTGGCGAGACCAAAACTGGATACAGGACTTCAGATGCAATCTCATGAAGTGCTGAGTAGAGGGGGGAAACTAATCCCTTCCTTGACCTGCTGGCTACACACTTCATAACACAGCCCAGTATGGCATTGGCCTCTGCTGCAGGAGTGCCCTGCTGACTCGGGTTGAACCTGTTGTCCACCAGGACCCTCAGGTCCTTATGTGGAGAACTGCTTTCCAGCCAGTTGTTTCCCAGCCTGTAGTGGTGCATTAGGTTATTCCATCCTAAAAGCAGGACTTAATCTTTGTTGAACCCTTTGATGTCCTTGTCAGCCCAGTTCTATATCCTATCAAGGTCATTTTGAATAGCAGCCCTGCAACTTTTGTGGATTGTTGTTGACTTAAATACAAAGGAACTGTGAATCTAAACAATCACATAATTAAGTTAATTGATTTTACTAATTCATTTTACATTTCAATTATTGCTTGAATGATTAACAGGTTACAATTAAAATTAAATAAATAATCTGTTGACTTTGGTTAATTTCTGACACTAAATGTAGCCAATAGTTCAAAGCTAGTAATGGAATTGACACTAAACCCAGTTGCTTTGTACATGTTTGGGGGGCAGAGGGTGCAGAAATTCATGAACCTGGGGTGTTCTCTATGTGAGCTCCAGTGAGGTTCTGTCAGGGATGAGATGTTTTTATGTGAGGATGGCCACAGGTGTCCATAAAGCCTGAGTGTTTATAGGGTGGGGGATGTAATCACCAGTAGGAGGTTTCACATCTCAGCACATACCTACTTTTGATATTCAATTTTTAAATTACATTTTTAGAAAAATATTGCAGATGCAGTTTTCCAGCATCATTTTCCTTTGTTCTTGATTGATTTCCTAGACATGAAGAATTACAACTCCTAACTGGAATCACCACTGTTCCAGCTTGTGCCATTTGTCTCTGAGAACGAGTCTGGTTTCAGTCTCTCTGTACCTTCCCTTTAGGCAGTAAGGCACAACAAAAATCTTTAGTTCGCCTAAAATAGCTTATTTTAAAATATCTGGTTGCTAATTCAGTTTTCTCTGACAATACCAATCTCTTTAAAACCTGAAAAATCTTTGAGAATATCTGCTCTTTCTCAGTTAAGTTTCTACTGCAGGTTTAGAAAGGGAGTCTTATACAGGTGTGGTCATAAATTAGGAAAAGGAAAATGAAGATAAAGAGAAGGTTGCTCCTTCTGCCCCTGCTCCTGCCCCGTTCCTCTCCCAGTGCAGTAAACTGGAAAGGCTGCTTTGGAGATGGTCACTTTCCCGTTAATCTGGCATTCCCCCCTGCTCCTGCAATAAAGTGATGGTACTGCATCAAGATACCTGACATAACTTCGTAAGCAGGATGCCAGAGGAATAACCCTACAAATCCACTATGAGAATAAGCAGAAGCAAGACAAAAACCTACTAAAATGCCTTTAATGGCTAGTGGAAATGGCAGTTGAACACCTGGACTACTTTACTATAATAAAGGAAGAAGATAATATATTAACTAATAAAACAACTAAAAACATTAGTTGTTCCCTGTTAAGAAAATTCCTTCATAAACAAAGTGCTTTTAGACTAAAATAAAGCTTTCAACATGGCTGTTACTTCAGGCTTTTCAGTGTGCCAGGTTATGCCCTAGCCATGGGTTTTATGGCTGTAGACCCTCAGCTAGTGCTGGAACACAAGCCTGTTACCATAGCTCTTTGAGTTAATTCTAATCTGCATTGGCTACAAGTGAAGCGGTATTTTTTAACAAACATAGCTTTTTGTTATGAAAATTCTTAACCCGTGACTTTTTTTAGAATTTCAAATTAAAGTAAGCACAGCTATTTTAAATTAATGCAAGAGACTCAAACTTAAGTAATTGTTCAAAAATTCAACACCCTACGAGAAAAAAAACAACGGGTTTTGAGTACTGTGATACTGAGTAGATACTGTGAACAGTATTTGGTTGACAATACGTATCTTGAACTTTTTTTGTTTGGTTTAAAAAAAACCAAACTCAGTCCCAAGAATGTATTGATAAAGAGCTAGAAAAATCTTTTAAGTACTATCACTATTTTTACTATTACCGTAAACTGTTAAAAGGGTTAAATTTCCATTTACTGCTTGCTACCCTTTCCCTAAAACTCAGCCTTAAATAGCCCAAGAAATATTTATTGTATCCTCAAGTGAAACTTAAATACCTTTCCTCTTTTACAGTTTCTGAATGACCCAGCAAGGGCTCTAGGAAAGCTTTACTGAACCAAGCTGCTAATAGTTATTTAATGTTGTTCTGTAGCCTGAAAGAATCTCAGTAGATTTTTCCTTTTAATCTCTTTGAATTGCAGGCTCATAAACCTCTCTGATGAGCCTGCCAGTGTTTTCTTAGATCCTGCAGTTGAGACAATGGAGCTGCAGAATCCTTTCACCTCTTGTTGTCAGACAAATGCAATAGATGGCAAAGCCAGGCAGGCTGGACTTCTTGTGAATTGAAATTTGGTTGTCAAGTTACGGTAGATGATCAAGTCTTCACTATTTTCCCTGTATGTTCAGTAATGTGGTTCAGAAAGTAGTTTGGTACTCACAGCTTGAGCAGACATCACGTATTAGTTAGCCTACCACGTAACTCAGTACTGGTAACAGTAACAGTGTCAAATAACCTCCTCTGGTAAGGGAGTGAAAATCAGCCACTCATTTACTTCAGAGATCCACTAACGAGGGAGTCGTGGTTGTAATAATAATGGTGTAGATTAAATAAGGAAGAGCACAAGAAATATTAGCCACTAACACACTCTGTGAAAACCATCAGGTTTGTAGTTCTACTTAAAAGCTCCCCAAACTCATACTGGGCTGTGCCTCGTTTTTTTAATAAGTGGCTAAATAGGATGTATCCTATGAAATACAATATCTAGCCAGGAAAAGTGCAGTTTTTCTGGAGTATTATTGGAGGAGGTACCTGTGAAGTCCCTTATTTCTACTTTTCAGTCCAGCACAAAGAGCAGTTACATAGAAGAAGCTGGGAAACATTTAGAATACCCTACAATCGAGTGATTTGGTAGGGCAATCTCTTGGGAATTAAAGTAACATAAAATAATCTGGGCCTCTGACTATTTCAGCGAGTGCTCAGTAAGTAGTTCTCGATTAAGAAATTCTTTTAACTGCCAACTTACTTTTCAGAGAAAGCTATACACAGCAATGTAAGCTTTAGAAAGCTTGATGTTATTTAACTATAAAACTTCCTTAAAAACTCACTGATCCAAGAGAAGGAACACATTCTCAATAACAACCTGATTTAAACCTTAAATAAGCACTAAGCTCCTGAGTCTTGCCAAATCTAAGGCATTTCTGGGTAGGTGTTAAAAGTATTTTAACGTGTTCCTTATTCTTTAAAATACAGCATTTGGGGAATTGAAACTTCCAGGTGTCAGGCAGCAGCTGGGAGGGTTTGGGCAGTAAGTTGTATGGCTTCAATTGTAACTTTGTTGGGAAAATCTTGTTAAAGATTTTAACTTGTTAAAGTTAAAGATCTTGGTGTGAACGTTGTACATCAAATATGAGTGTGCTGATAAATTGCAAAAAACCAATTTGTGTTTGTATTGCAGTTTGCATTTGATAACTTCAATTGTATTGAGCACTTTGGATTTCATTTCATGCTCTACTCAATGTTGAAAGAATTTAGGGGATCAAATGGCAGCAGAACTCATGGGTGCAGACCAAGACTGACCTCTCTGTGCTCAGACTCGATCATAAAAGAACACTTGGACTCATCTTCCTCTAAAAGTGTTCATCATTCATCTTTTGTTAGGAATATCTTTTTGCAGGAATCTGGGTGGTGTTCTTACACGTAACCCTGACATCTACTTGGTGCTTACTGGGTTTTTTATTTGGCTTCTCCTTTCTAAAGAAGAATGGGTTGCCTAAGAGAGATTGTGGAGTCTCCATCTGTGGAGAAATTTAAAATCTGACTGGATGTCATCATGGGCAGCCTGCTCTAGCTGATCCTGCTTGTGCAGGAGGGTTGGACTGGGTGATCTTGAGAGGTCCCTTCCAACCTCAACCATTCCATGATTTTGTGAAAGGTACAGGTAAGCAGACATTCACAATTTCAGCTTGTGGAAGTCTGGTTACAGCCCAGCTTTTAAAAGGTTTTTACATCAAAAGAAAAGTTTGCCCCTAATTTCACATAATAGTTTGCACAAAGTACTGGTTTCAGTAGTGTCTTAACTTCAGTAATACGTCTTACATTACATCTTACAGTACAGTCTCCTTCTCTGGAGACATTCAGAACCCGCCTGGACATGTTCCTGTGTGACCTGGTCTGGTGATCCTGCTCTGGCAGGGGTTGGACTGGATGAGCTTTCGAGGTCCCTTCCAACTCCTGATATTCTGTGATCTTCACCGTGTACTTCTCCTGGCTACAGTAGGACATTTTCCAGCTTATGCAGGGATATGGAAACAAAAGTTTTAGAGAACTGCATTTTTAACTGATAATGTGGTCTACATACGCCTCCCTAGTAGGGCCCAGATTGACTGCTAGGTATATAAAAAATATTAACTTATCAGGAAGAAATAAAGTCCTGTATGTTGTCAGGTTTGAACATCTGTCATGTTTTCCTTGTAGAAGATAATCTGACAAAAGAATGGCCACTACACGCACAAATTTATCTCGAGGATATGTCCTGGAATGAAGGTATGAGTGCCTTATTGCTTGTTCCCAGTGCCTTTCCTTGTCACTACAAATGATTTGATTTGTTTGGGTTTTGGTTTCTGGTTTTTTTTTTTGCATCTCACACCATTATGTTGTCTTATTGTAAGTTGTGCTTATTTATATTTTCCTTAGATTTAGATATGCTGTTCTCTGTGATTACCTGAATTGGAACTTAACTTTCTGTGATACTTACTTTGCATTCCCTCTTCACCTTCACCCCCACCTCCCCCACATCCACTTGGGCATGGAGAGCTCGCAGTGCCACTTTTCACCTGGCTCTCTTTTTGTGATATAACTGAGCATTTAGATTTCCAAATTCTCCCCATGTCTCATCTTCTTGCTCTGATGGTAGAATGCGAGTGTTTTCATACACACTTTTCTCCATGTTGACAGTGTGTTACTTCCCTCCTTTATATTACCTCTGGCTTTTATAAATTATTTGCTTTTTGGATGAATAGCTGATTTTTTTATTGTTTGTTTGTTTTTAAGCTGTGAGGGGGGAAATCCTATCTACTTTCCTCTGTTCTGTGTTTGTTTCGTGGGTTAGCAGTCCGTTTGGAACCATCCTTGACCTGTCATGTGTGTAACTAACACCTCTCAGTTTGTTGCTATTGTTCTCTGAAGATCTTGGTACTTTGTCAGAATCCAGTTCTCATGCAGAAACATTCAGTGATGTAGTCCTTTTAACATGTGTCTGTTTCACTGGTGTGCACCTTTTTATTACTTGCTCTTTTAAGAGACTACGCTCACCCTGGCTGTTTGGCAACGGAATGCCTCACAGTCACTGAAGCACACTAAGAGTATAGTTATTTTTTGAGCAACAAGTGGTAGCACAAGTACTGATATTCGCAGTCCAGCAGTGGGAGGTCACACACAAATTATGTTTTGCTATTAAAAGCAGCTTTGTGAAGAAAATAAAAAATAAATTCTTGACGCTTCTCAAGCACTAAAGGCTTTTTTGTTTTCTTTTTTGGCAGATGAACAATGTTATACTCTCTCATGCCGATGTGGTGGGAATTACAGTGTCTTCAAGAGTGAAACCAAAGATGTGTCTTTGGTTTGTTGTGACACATGTTCACTTGTTATCGAGATCCTTCAATGATTGTTTCAGTGAAGCACATTGAGAGTTACGAGCTTTTGAAAAGACTGGCCAAATGGGGGACAGCATCTGCAAAGAAATGTATGTTAAAGAAAAGGGGAGCACTACAAGGACAAGTTGAGTCAGGCTTAAGAAAGCAAATGTGCCTGTTTGCTAACGTAGCTCTGGTTGTTTTTTTCCCTTCTGCAGCTAAAGAGGTAGTTATTTAAAACCTCCAGAACAGAACGCTAAGTTCTGTAAAACTGGTACATCGCTTGGTCCAAATGACATCTCTTACACAGCAAACAGAGTAACTTCTTTCAGTCTGTCTGTATCAACTATACCTTGGGCCTTGCCCCTTAGGTTAAATCCTTTTAACAGCTCAGATGACAAAATTTAATTAGGGGGCATACATGTGAGAATGGTTTGAAGACAATGAAGAGTAAGGTGCATTAATGAGAAACAGGAACATTTTCTATCTCTATGCTAAATATTTAACTTCATTAAATCCTCAGAAGGACTTGAGCCTTGGAAAGAGGTGGCAGAGACTTGCAGATCTAACAGGCTGGTAGCAGGTCCAGTAGTGTGCCCTAACACGACATCTATATTCACTTTTCTGCTTGGAGCAGAATCACGCTTTTGGACCGATCCTCACTATCATCTGAACAAACACAGTCCTCGTTCCTTAGAGGAAAACTAACCAGGAAGCTGTGCCCTGGGCCCTACTGGGGCCAAACTAGAGCCAGTTTAAGGAAAACCCTACAAAACAGACGTAAGTGACTAGCAGATCCAGAACCTCACTGTTGCTGTGTTCAGTTCCAATCCTAGCATGCCACACTACTTGCTAATGTAGGCATAGCCTATGTGTGACAACGAAACAGCTCATTGTGCCTTTTTTGTCCCTTGTGAACACTCTATACTAACCTTGGCTTGTAGTCAAAACCAAACCTTTCTAATAAGTCCAAGTGCTTGCTGTGAACAGGCAGAGGAAACAGCGTAAGCAGCATGTCGTTTTTGTTGATTACAGCAGTGTATCATTCCCACTTTAAAGTTAGAGATACTCTCAGAAAGAAACATCTTTGTCAAGTAATACTTGTGTTTATTCTAAACAAAAATAGTTCCATTGATTTTAGTAGAAAATATTATGAAAGCTGGCAGTAGTCAGTTAAATCTTTTAATCATCGAGAAACCTATGGCCATTGGGGCTTGCACGTAGAAATCCAAAGTCATTCAGAGGCCATATCTGTAAGATAAAATACAGTTGCAAGAGATTTTTATCACAACTCAATGTTCCGTATTTTCATTTGTTATTGTTTTAATTGTTTCATAAACTGCACAATTTTTAGCTCTTTGGTTGTCAGGGTGTATGAACTTCTCACCTGTGTGTTTCTTTTACCAGAAGTAATAAATACTGTCTATCAGGAGCAGTCATTATTCCACAGTGGCCAGAGACAGCACTGATTTATACACAGCATGCTTTGCTATGGAGAGCCTCACAAATTTCATTATTTTTTTCAGCCTTGGAAATGAACACATTCCTAGAAAATATCTTTCAAATTCAAGTTTTCTAGCTTGTAAACCTCTTAACAACTTAAAATACAAAGTATGTATTTTTGATGCATCTATGAGAAGAAAGAATACCACGAACATTACCTCCCAGTGAAAGTAGTGAAGGTGTACATTTTGTCTTTTCAAGATGGGCATTTGAACTGCAAACACCAAACCTTGGCTTATAGGTAAGCTTCTACCATGCAAATAGGTATAAAGGGGTGGAGCACCTGCTATCATCAAGGCTCTCAAACCAGGGACTCCTCTGAGAAGGTGGCTACTATGTGGAAAAAGGAGGAGCACAAATCATGACCAAGTAGAAGTGTCAGAGAATGAAGCTCACCAGTATGGAAAAAAGTGTCTCGCCAGAAATTAACTATATAGGTGTTCATACTACTGAATGCTCCCAGGAGGACTTTCCTCTGAATATTCACTAATTACACGTAGGCTGGTCTTGGATGCAAAAGAAAGGCAATCAGTAATCAAGGACATTCTTTTACACTTTGTCCTTTGTCTCCCTTGACTGCCTGTGTCTCTCTGCTACATGTTCTTTCAAAGATGGCACGAGGGGATCAGCAGGAAGAAGGGAAAAAGGTGATGTTGAAGAATGCATGCCCTCTGTGGCTCTAATCCCATAAAAATCTCACAGCCCCTGCTCAAGATGAAGCGACCTAGACAAAGATGATGCACTACCTTGTTCCCAAAGCATCGGTTGGTATGATGTTTATTGTGCTCATTTTTCCTTAGAATTTGATCTTAAGGAAGGTATGCAGTCACCTTCCAGGAACAGCAACTTTTTAACTGAGTTCATGGAATATCCACACCACACAAGGAGCATTTGCTGCTTCCTGTGTGGAGTGAAAAAGTAATTTTCTCAGTTTATAAAAGGAAGCACAGTGCCAAGGTTCAACATTTCAAACCCCAGGACTTGTCTTCAGCACTAAAGACAATGACAGAACAGGCAGAGGCAGTTAAGGACAGGAGGCTGAGTAGCAAGACGGAGCATCAACTTACTACTAGACTGGGACTGTGCACTGCTAGAAGCTCCCTAGACTTGCCCCTGCCAGGCCCCTCGCAGCACTGTGCTAAGTTGCCATCAGTTGGATTGTGCCAGGGCCCTCGGGAAGACAGAGAGATGAGTCATTCTCAGGAGCTCAAGTTATGTGGATCTGAAAAAGGCTCAAAGCGCTCTTATGCAATATTTTAGAAAATACATGTCTTTTTTGGTGTGTGCAGTTAGGGAGAAGCATGAGGAACATCTGCTGATGTACAGAAACACACAGAGGTAACGTCTTGTCTCTATGTGCATATCAGCCAGTGAGTTAATTTAAGAAGTTCCACGCAAATAAACAGAGATATGAACCAACAAGAGAAGGACATTTGTGATCTTGGTTAGAAGCGAAGCTATGGCATTAAAGGCTCTCCAGAGGGCCTAAGCTGGCTGCAGGCTGCGCGTCAAGTCTCTGTGTGGCCTCAAAGGCAAACAGGAGTAAAAAGGAACAGAGATATCCCATACTACAGATCTAAGCTGATCTGCATAAAGACCTGGAGAAGGAAGTTTCTCCAAGTGTACCTATTGCAACTTGTCTGTCTTTCAGTGAAAATTATCAGATTTGTTTTAAATACTGTTTTGACAATTTAGTTTCGAATTCATTACCATAATCCTAGTGGTAGAGATAAAATGAAAAGGATGTTTTATTTAGTCTGCATGCAGGAGAGAATGCAAAAAGCAAGAGTCATGGTTGAAAAGGAGGCGGAACAAGCCTTCTCTGTGAGACAAAGACGTGCCACTCTGTGTAGTGATTCCCAAGTCTTTTAAAGTTATGACAGAAGTTGACTGTGACTTGTTCGTTCAAACTGGCTACTCCAATTAGCAGCTATTTCCCCTTGCCCTCTTTGGTTTGGCCTAGATTTGATCTGATGGATGGGGGATAAATGGGGCTAACTAGCTCTTTGAAGATACACTACAAGTCTATTTTTGACATGGAGCTCAAGTCCAAGGAATGCACAGGATATCCTACCTAGGACAGGATGAAGCATGAATTCTGTCAAAGTGTGACTCCCTAGGCGTTTACTGAATTTGCAGCTACTTTCATCTTGGTGGCCTTTTCTTGGAATAAACTTGTCTCTGAGTGGCAGTTGATACGGTGGCAGGGAGGAAAAGGAGCAAATATAATCAAGTAGTATCATTTCTGGATGGGTTAAAAACTGGCCCAACATTGAGAATCTTAGGTCTGAACTTTGCAGATAAGCTACAGAGAAAATGAACATTTATGTTTTGCCAAGCATAGGTTGCCTAAACAAACTTGGTGCAAGCTTATTCTCTTCTGTTGAAATCCATTACTTCCAAATTAAGTTGGGTTTTTTGCGTCCATTACTAAAAATGTAACTTAGCATTCAAAGGCATTGTTACATCTGCTCCTTCAAAATTCACATTAAGATTAAGCCACATAAGCATCCATTCTCAAGGCAGTAAAAGGTTTTTCATGAATAAAAGCACCAAACCTCTAGCAGACTAAAAAGCATATAAAGGTTTCTTGGCCAGTGGTCTACTAATCAGCTACCACCATGTGGACTAGCTGTATTCTGCTGCCTGTCACTGTAACCTCTAGCAGGATCACTGTATTCTAATGCGAATTACCAGAAACAACCCAAACCATAAACACTCATTTGAAGAATAAACTAATTTTTGCTTCTGTTAGGTACCATATACTTAAATCTCATTAAAATGTTAATAATCACTACTCTATGCACCATCATAAAGCAACTGCTATAAAATTTGGTTAAATAATTATTTTCATTAAGTGTCAAATGATCACATACTGTCTTTTCAAACAGACAGTATTCTGGTGGCCTGAAATACTTCTTCAATATGTAATATCTGTGTGTAAGTTCCATACATTTTACAGAGTCTATTGCTTGCTAAATTTAGGGTTCTGTCTTGTCAGTCACTTTTAAAGTCCCTCAAACATCTTCCCTGTTGGGGTACAAGCCAGACACACATTTATTGCTGTGGAGGGATACTGTGAATAATTATGGCTGTCCACATACAGAGGTTCTTCATAAACACATTATTTGCTAACAGTCCCCTTAAGGTAGTAAACAGCAGTTTTTCCTTACTAGCACATCAGTCAGAGAAGTTTGGGGTTTTTTCAGTCAGATTATTAATACCACATTCTTATTAAAAGGGCTGTCAGCATATCTGCATCATTTGTATTTTAGCAGTTAATAATCCAAGCTAAAACTTGGGTCATTTTTGCTCTGGTGTACATGGTAAGGCAAACAATACAGAGAAGGAACACAGAATCACAGAATGTTAGGGATTGGAAAGGACCTCAAAAGATCATCTAGTCCAATCCCCCAAGCGCTCTATAAACACCAGGAAGAACTCAAAGCAGACGCTACCCAGAAAGAACAGAGGTCAGACACAACTCAGTGGTGGGGCTGAGGAGGACGTGTTATTTGAGGTTTAGTGAGCAAATACTGGTTATGGTCAGTAGCTGCAAAGTTTATTGAAAAGTCCCATGTTGTGTCCATAGACACTGTAAGTATATAAAACTTTGTTAAATTGGAAAGATCTAATGTTCCCTGTGCATGTCATACAGCTGTGCTAAATTATGTTTTTGTGGATGTGTTGCAATATATGAAGAACAGTTTTCAAAACCTTTTTTGTATTGTTCTGAATGGCACCATTTTCAGTCTAGCTTTCTAGAAGCTGGTGCTTAAGTCTATAATACATACTCCTTTGTTTCTCAGAGTAAACTTTTTATGAGGAGGAAATTGTGTTAGTTTCTTCTTTTTGGTAAATGAGTAAATTAATAACGCAGACAATATGAAAAAGTAATTTAGTGTGAAATAAAGCTGTAGAATTCTTGAACCAGAAAGAGAAGGGACCATGGAGGTTTATACAAAACAGTATTAATTCAAAGCATTTTTAAAAATAAAACTGTGGCAGACAATGACGGTGGCACAGATTTGACTTTACTGTTAAGGCTTTTATGCAGGCTTGGTTTAAGCAGCAGCAAGGCCAGTCTATGTGCCTCAAGCGTGGATGCAAGTCCTAGAAAGAGAACCTTTTCCTCCATCTTGTTTTTTGAACCATGGAACTACACTGCTCAAGTGACAACAGCACTGAAATATGGAACTGCCATTTTCCATGGGCAAGAATCAAGTTAAGGCTGGAATGTGCAGCAGGGTGTATGTGTATGTTTGTGGTTTTATCAGGTTTGGATTTGCTTCCAAAATAATTTATTCAGTTTGCAGAGGCAGTGACCGCTCAAAGGGTGTTGCTCAAAAAACAAGTCCTCCCTCAAGCCCCACCACCACCATTGTTGAATCCTTTTACAGCAAGTGGCCAGCGTGTGCAAGCTTTCCTTTACATTTGCTTTGGCCAGACAGTTAAGGAGGCAACTTTTAATACCTAACACTTAGGCATTAAAAATGTAATAATACAACTATTTTTAGATACTATAAATATCTACATACCTTCAAACAAATGCGTCCTCTTATCAGTCCGTAAGGAACAGGTCCATAGCACCTGGAATCTGTAGAATTCCTGAGATTATCACCTTCTAACCAAACATGTCCTTTAGGCACCTATGATTAAGCAAGATTTAAATGTAAAAAGAAAACTGAATAAATGGTATTAAGCATAGTTTGCCTTATATGCGTTTGGATTTCTGTGTTCTGTATTTCATGACTGTATAATGCACTCATTTTTTATTGAATCTCGTAGAACACAGTGCCAGATTTGGAGGGATGAGAAGGAGTGTTCTGAAGTATGTGCTCAAAAAACAATGGTTTCCAACAAAAAATCCAAAATGAAGATGTAAGAGGTTAGACCAATGTGACAGGGTCATTAATTTAATAGACTTCAAAAGAGGTCATTAGGATGTTGACTGAAAATCTGCCCTCCTGTCGCAGTAACAGCATGAACAGGGCAGCCACACACTCATCAACATCCTGGGGCCAGCACCAAGGCTAGACCTGTTAGTAGATTCATGATGAACTCACTGGTAATTGATTGTGACATCAATTACGAATAATCTCATCATTTTATCGGAGTAGGCTTGTCAAAGTTCTAATTAAGATCACAGTTCATTCTATGTGCAGGCAGAATCCACAACACATTATATTGCAATAATGATGATCACAAAACAGCAAATCCCTATTTATAATTTGAAAATTAATGATGGTGACCTTATACTATATGACAAAGACCTTTCATTGCCTATATATATTATGCATTAACTATATTACATACCATAGATTAATGGCATTCACTGACTGACTTGGTGAGAAAATAAGAAATAGCAACATCGCTATTTCAGTTACCTAAATAAGAGTGTAAAGCTTTCATATATGAAAACGTTGCTACTGTAAGTCTTAAACTAAGATTTCTGCTTGGAGTACACAACAGTATTCTGATATATTTTTAAAAAACATTTCAAGTATAAATAACCTCTTACAGGTTACCAAATAAAATGCTTAATTATTTTTCTAATATGTTTCAGTTTCTAAAATTCTAAACCAGGATGAAAATTTAAAAGTAGCAAAATATTCTCAATCTTGGTAATATTTAACATAGACTTTAAGTTAACATACATTTTTCCAAAACCAAATATGTATTTGAAACATTACTATGCCCACAATTCGTAGAAAAAAAAAAGGAAACAAAAAATTCAAATAAAACTGCAAGTTTGAGCAGTATAAACATAGATGTTTTAGCAGTAAGCCTCATGGACTCATAAATACAGTAGTCTACATATGCAGAATTCAAGAATAACAGACTAAACAAAATAAAAAACTGCTCTAGTAGTAAAGTCTGCATGTAAAACATTAATAATAAAACCAGGTACCCCAGACAAACATTTGAGGAAAATGCAGTTGAAGTGTAACTGTTGGCGCTTATAGGTATCTGGCCAGGTAACACTTATTGGAAACCTTGTCTTTAAATAAGCTTTTTAGGCTCTTGCTTAGTCGTGCTCCCACCTGCCTGTCACCAGACCAGGATCTGAGGATCGCACACTACCCCAGAGCCCCTTTGTTGAGCTGTGGCAAACATACAAGCCACAGGTCAAGAACCAAGTTTGTCACTGACAGTGGCAAAAAGAGACTCATCATGGAAAGCACATGTGAGCCATCTTCTCCCCACCACCCCCGTGTTTCTCTGGTATCCAGGGCAGGTGCATCAGGCATGTCGGAGGGCATGCATCCCTGCCTCATCATTTCCGAATCTGTATGTGGAGCTGTAGACCAGCAATGTGCGTAAACCTTTTGGAAACCTACTGATACTGTCTCCTTCCACAGTCTCCTGTATAAAGGAGTGCTGCGTTGTTTGTTTTAAACTGATCTGCTGGTTCTATCCAGGTCCTTTACTTCTTGTTCTCCTAGTCCTTCAATACAGGAACTCCATATTCAGCTTGTCTGCCACCTTTGTTACCTTGTGGGTTTATCAGATCGCTGGCATGGGCATGGAAGAGCTTTTTCTGGGAAGGCCAACTGGTTTCAGCTAGATGACTTTGGCTCTCCTCCTACCCAAGCAGCTTTGCAAAGAAATTAACCAACCAGAAGTCAATTTAAAATAAATAAACAAATAATTCCATCCAGAGTCAAATGACCTGTGTAGAATATACATCTGTCACATGTGAACATACATTTTTGATAGGTCCCTATTTGAGAATGTACTGACATTCCTATTTGCCTCTAAAATTCTGTGGTATACAGCCTGTTTAAAGTGTCCAGCAGCAATTGTTAGGTTAGTTGGATATTCATCTTTACCTATTTGCAGTGTACCCACCTATTCCCTGTGACCACATCTTACATGAATTACATACAAAAAGGAGAAGCATGCACTATGAAAGGGTTGTGTTTTTTTAATGAAACAAAAAAGCAAACCCACGTTGACATTTCACATTTCTGAGAAAGAATCACTTCTTGAAACGTGCTACTGTTCCACACACAGGACTCTACCAGCTCCCCTTCTACTTTGCTGGTTCCCATGCTGTCTCACCTTCCCTCATTGATAGGCAGAACATGGAGCTCACCTGTAACTATGTGAAATAAGGACCCACTCATAACACGAGTACATCCAAACACTTCTAGACCTTCCCAACTTTCTTCCATGCTCCAAAAGTATAAAAAATAAAGTGTTTTTGCCAGGTGTGACATTACCACTTACTACTTCTAATGCTACTAATAATTAGTTATCTAGGCAAGACGTTCATAGTTTGTATTCTAGATATTAAATTTGCAATAAAGTATATTGCTGTATCCTGAAATTCACCACTTATGGTAACTTCCGTAGTTCTCCGTGGAAGGCAGGACAGGACCCTACACCTCTAAGTTTGTCATTAACAGTACTGTCACAATGCATGATTCATCTAGAGATAATACAGTCTAATACCTTTGTATGGTGCCTGTCCATCACCTAGGCACTTCACTACAACCTAGAATTAAGACAAGCAATAAAAATCACATGAATTACATGAAAATGTAAAACCAAATACCAGTGACAGGCCATAACTGTTAATTAAGAAAAAAAAATAAAAGTTGTTTAGACCCCTTTGAAATAAGGGCTAAAATGAGAACCCTTCAAGGGTTTATGCACCAAGCTATTTCTAGACCACATCACTGGTTTCAGTGGAATTACTCACATTGAATAAAGTTAACCTTGAGTATCAACCTTTGCAGAATCAAGACCAAATCTGAAACACCTCAAAGCTATGCTAGCATAGTAGCTGGAAATATGATATATTTTTAACCAAAGAAAAAAAAGAACTATTGAAAACTTGTATTTGTAGTCAGAATACATTAATTGTACACCAATGGGCTGCTACTGCCAAAAAAAACCAAGGCAATGGGAAAGCCTGACAATTCACAGCATGGCAGTTTGGTATCTACAAGCCATGGACCTTTTAAACAAAATTAAATGTATCTAAGAAGTACAACTGAAATCACAGTTACCATTACTACACATGGAAAGATTGTGGATACAAAAAATATTGACAAAAGTGTCAACAGCATTTATCTTGGGCTGGGCAGCACTTCAGTTTTCCCTTACACATAGGCCAGAAGGAAGATGTGAAAGCTTGATCTCACGAGCCCAACAGCTGAATTTCCACACGACTACCTAGTGGGTCACATGCAAAACCAGCGATTCCACAGCAGTGCAGGTTCACATGCTGCCTCTGATCGTCTGCAGACTACTCCCTTTGCCTCAGCAATCCTTGTGCCCTTGGTTTTGTGCAGATTATCTGGGGATTTATTTCCAGGGAACAGGAGTTCTCAGGCAGAACCGGTTATCTGAGGTGCAGCTTATATGCATGAGAATAGAGGACACTGATCAGACACATGGCTCCTTCCCCTTCTCCCTTCCAAGGCTCTGAGGGCCGGAGCACATCAGCAGATAGACCAGGGGAGCAAGATTATCACTCAGAACAACTGAGCTTGTAGCAATAGCTTACTCTGCTTTGGCTTAGATAAATAAGCATCTTTCACTGCAACAAACTGGCTACATTTGCGGGGCTCTTGTCATTTACTTCGTGGTATTGTTAAGTGGCAAACTGTAGTACAGGTCAGATATTTGAGGCATACTTACTAGCATAAAACGTTAATTTACATAAATGGGCAGGGGGAATCAAAAGAATTATCTTATTTTGGTGCTTTTAGATTATAACAAACTTTGTTCCTTGAGTAATCTCACCAGTTTCAAGAGATGTGATGCCTGCACTGCATTAGCTGGCACAGTAGAAAGCTAATATACTTCAAGTAAGATTAACAGATTAAATTATCTGCCTCAAAAATACCCCCAAACGCAACTAAATGAAAGGCTTTTGTGGTTTGGGTTGGGGTTATTTTGTTTGTGATTTTGGAGGACTTTGGGGGAAGAAGAGGATGACTCAAGACAGAGAAATGGGGATTTTTAATAAGTGGAGAATTATAAACATGAATCTCTTGCAATCTCTGCTTTTGCAATTGCACAGTCTGTTTGCCAAAGAACATCAGCATGCACAATCAGCTGGGAGCAGATGAAGTTTGAACTTTCATAAGGTCACAGGTATTCACATCACCTCAAGCAATATCAAAGTTTCAAACTTAAGAAGAACTTTAAATCTTTCCCATCTTTTCTTTTCAGTTCAGAGGCTTCCTTCTTGAGCTATGATAAGAACTAATCTCAGTCCTGGACAAAAGAATAAAGTCTGCAAGTTCTCATCTATCCCTACTAAGGTCTGTTTAAGTGCCTCCTACTTTGGTACAAGCAACAAATGTAATTGCTTCATGGCCTGCGGGTGTTCATTTAACAAAAGAAGCTTTTGTGAATAAACCACAGGTGTTACCTTTCTTGATTAAAGTGAAATATGATGAAAGAATCTACAATATCAAATGACAAATTTACTAAATACTGATTAAATTGCCTTATTTAAGTAAATTGCATCTAGTTAGGATAAAATATACACCACAGAAATGCAGGAGTTCGTTTTATCAATCTATACTTAAAGTTTCACATAACTATTCCTTAATCCTTTATTTATTACACCAGAACCAAGAGTGAATAATGCCTAACAGATAGGTTTTTTAATGATCTAGTTGTTCTA